AGGATTAGTTAGATTAAAAACAAAAGAAGGAAGGTATGTAGAAGAGGATAAAGGTCAGGCTGACTGCCTCAATGAATATTTTTGTTCTGTATTTACAGAAGAAAATGAAGGAAAGGGACCTCAGTTGAGAAAAAGGATAAATGAGTCATTTATTACACGTGAGTTTACAGAGGAAGAGGTTCTATTTCAACTGTCAAAAGTAAAGACAAATAAGTCGATGGGACCTGATGGAATACACCCAAAGCTATTAAAAGAGCTTAGTGGTGTACTAGCAAAAGCATTAACAGATTTAGTTAGCCAATCATTGTTAACAGGAGTAGTCCCAGAAGATTGGAAGTTAGCGAATGTTGTGCCCATTTACAAGAAAGGTAATAGGGAGGAGTCGGGCAACTATAGGCCAGTAAGCCTTACTTCAGTAGTGGGAAAGTGATGGAAACCATGTTAAAGGATAGGATTGATGAACATCTAAAACACATGGATTTCAAGATCAGAGACAACATGGGTTTACTTCAGGGAGATCATGCCAAACTAATCTTATTGATTTTTTTGATTGGGTAACTAAAATTATAGATCAGGGTGGTGCAGTAGACATTGCTTACCTAGATTTCAGTAAGGCTTTTGACACTGTTGCACATAGAAGGCTTATCAATAAACTGCAATCTTTAAGTTTGGATTCAAATATTGTTGAATGGATAAGGCAGTGGCTGAGTAACAGGCAACAGAGGGTTGTAGTTAATGGAATATATTCAAAGCTTGGACTTGTCACCAGTGGGGTACCTCAGGGATCTGTACTTGGACCCATTCTCTTTAATATTTTTATTAGTGATATTGCAGAAGGTCTTGATGGTAAGGTATGTCTTTTTGCTGATGATACTAAGATATGTAACAGGGTTGATGTTCCAGGAGGGATAAGCCAAATGGCAAATGATTTAGGTAAACTAGAAAAATGGTCAGAATTGTGGCAACTGACATTTAATGTGGATAAGTGCAAGATAATGCATCTTGGACGTAAAAACCCAAGGGCAGAGTACAGAATATTTGATAGAGTCCTAACCTCAACATATGAGGAAAGGGATTTAGGGGTGATTATTTCTGATGACTTAAAGGTAGGCAGACAATGTAATAGAGCAGCAGGAAATGCTAGCAAATGCTTGGTTGTATAGGGAGAGGTATTAGCAGTAGAAAGAGGGAAGTGCTCATGCCATTGTACAGAACACTGGTGAGACCTCACTTGGAGTATTGTACACAGTACTGGAGACCGTATCTTCAGAAGGATATTGATACCTTAGAGAGGGTTCAGAGAAGGGCTACTAAACTGGTTCATGGATTGCGGGATAAAACTTACCAGGAAAGGTTAAAGGATCTTAACATGTATAGCTTGGAGGAAAGACGAGACAGGGGGGATATGATAGAAACATTTAAATATATAAAGGGAATCAACACAGTAAAGGAGGAGACTATATTTAAAAGAAGAAAAACTACCACAACAAGAGGACATAGTCTTAAATTAGAGGGACAAAGGTTTAAAAATAATATCAGGAAGTATTACTTTACTGAGAGGGTAGTGGATGCATTGAATAGCCTTCCAGCTGAAGTGGTAGAGGTTAACACAGTAAAGGAGTTTAAGCATGCGTGGGATAGGCATAAGGCTATCCTAACTATAAGATAAGGCTAGGGACTAATGAAAGTATTTAGAAAATTGGGCAGACTAGATGGGCCGAATGGTTCTTATCTGCCGTCATTCATGTTTCTATGTTTCTATGATCTGTTATTTTGTATACCTGGAGCTTTAAATTAATGTTGCCGATAGGCTTATTGTTTTCTATGCTAATTAACGCTCTTGGCCATCTGCACACATGCTTAGTTATGTCTTATAGACCACCCATATTGTGTGGTTGGTCGGGGTGATCCGAGTATGTGCCCACGGTTAGCCAAAGGTTATGACATCTGGCTCCCTTGAGCGCATGTGTGGATATGACGTACCCGGAAGTAACTGCAATGAAACGCAGTTTGCGTTCCACCGTGGCGTTCACAGGGATGCTTGCTTGGCGGTTCTCTCTATATATGGTCAGTAACTTGTTTTTATGAATTCATGCTGATTATCAATGTAAATTAATTACTATCAACAGCTCATTATTATTAACAGCTGTCACTTTCCTGTCTAGTATATTCATTCACAAGTGTGTTGTATTTTATTTGATTGTTTAAATTTACCTATATATACCGTGTTAGTTGGTGTATTTGTCAGCTTGAAAAAGACCTAGATGGTCGAAATGTTGCTGTGGTTCTAATAAAGTGCCTATTTTGAACAAAGGAGTGCCTGGACCTTTTTTCTTTTATTTTACTAGCAATGTATATGTAATGATCTTATGGGTTAGTCCCAAGTAAAATAAAGTTTTTTTGGGAACTTGTGTCCTGTGTGAATTTGTAGGGATCCCAGTGACAGAGTCTTCGGACCTCTTTGCTGGTTGCAAGATTCCTCTTTTTAAACATAAGAGCGCTAACATTGCAGGCGGATGTAGATACCTGCCTGCAAGAAGGGCTGCAGCGGAAGAGGGGACTATACTTGCCTGGAAAGAGAGCTGTAGCCTGGTCGGGTGGAAAAGCTCGAGAAGGACCCCAGTCAAGCTCCGGTATGTGTGTTCAGCAGTTTGTGTGTATGTATGTATTCAGCAGTCTGTGTATATTTAACAGTCTGTGTATATTTAACAGTCTGTGTGTGTATATTCAGCAGACTGTGTGTGTATGTGTGTGTATTCAACAGTATGTGTATGTGCATTCAGCAGTCTCTGTATGTATTCAGCAGTCTTTGTGTGTGTGTTCAGCAGTCTGTGTATGTGTATTCAGCAGTCTGTGTATATTTATTCAGCAATCTGTGTAGCAGTCTGTGTGAATGTATTCAGCAGTCTGAGTGTCTATTCCGCAGTCTCTGCATGCATTCAGTCAGTGTGTGTGTGTATTCAGCAGTCTCTGTATGTATTCAGTAGGCTGTGTGTGTATTCATCAGTCTCTGTATGAATTCAGTAAGCTGTGTGTGTGTATTCATCAGTCTCTGTATGAATTCAGTAAGCTGTGTATGTGCATGTCTATTCATCAGTCTCTGTTTGTATTCAGCAGGCTGTGTGTATTCAGCACTCTTTATATGTATTCAGCAGGCTGTGTGTGTTTATTCAGCAGTCTGTATGTATTCAGCAATATGTGTGTGTGTAATTACACACACAGATGGCTGTGTATATACAGAGACTGTTGTATGCATGCACGCACAGACTGCTGAATACGTACAGAGGCTGTTAAATACACAAACAGACTGCTGATTGCACAGTCTGTGTGTGCGCGTTCAGCAGACTTTGTGTGTGTATTCAGCCGTCTCTGTATGTATTCAGTAGTCTGTGTGTGCATATGTATTCAGCAATCTGTGTGTGTATTTAGCAGTCTCTGTATGTATTCAGCAGTCTGTGTGTGTGTAATCAGCAGTCTCTGTATGTATTCTGCAGACTGTGTGTGTGTGTGTGTTTGTGTATTCAGCAGTGGGTGTTTGCTGTTTACACACAGACTGCTGATTACACACACACACAGGCAGCTGTATACATACCGAGACTGTTATATGCACGCACATACTGCTGATTATAAACACACAGACTGCTGATTACACACAAACAGACTGCAGATTACACAGCTGTATTCAGCAGTCTCTGTATTTATAGTTAGCAGCCTGTGTGTGCGTGTATTCAGCAGTCTCCAGTCTCTGTATATAACCAGCAGTGAGAGAAAGAGAGTGTGTGTGTGTGCATTCAGCAGTCTGTGAGTGTATTCAGTAGTCTGCGTGTGAGTATTTGGCAGTCAGATGGGACAAGTGAGAGAGAAATAGAACCAGAATAGCCATCTCTGTGAAAAATGGCATTGTTATATGTTGTGAAAATGTCTATTTACTCATTCCACGATATACCATATATGAAACTATACACACGTGCTCTAATCAAGATGGCTGCTAGAAGCTTCTAACCCCCTCCTCCCCTGCCCCTTTAACACCGACTAACTACCTCGTTCAGCAAGATGGCGCCGGGAAACCGTGGAAGACCCTCATGGTCCTGGTGACATCACCCTCAGTAGGCAGAGCATTAGGAAGACCACTTAACACCTAACCAATTATTGATGTATTATTCCATGTTATCTCTGACAATGCATATGATGTAATTTTGCTTTAAAAGGGACCTGCCGTCCCCTCTGAATAAACATTCCTCAAGTTATTCAACAACCTGGAACCTGTGTCTGGTGTGAATTACTTCAGGGAGCGTGCACGCATTGTTTCATTGATTTGGCCAGGGGCAGATACTCAAAGAAATAATCAATACCTTGATTGATTTTTCCATTTCATTATATACTATATACCACACACAATAACATACACAAACATAGTAAACACACATTCAAAGTATACACACACATACTTAGACAACAGTATGCAAACACAGAGACACTACTATACACACACTGATTTAGACAGTATATACACACACTGCCTCACATACACAATGCTAGAGGCACAATCACACAAAGTACACATATTGTAAGTAGTTTTTTAGTGATTTAGGGAATTTTCTCCTTCCAAATGTTTGTATTCTCTTATATACATTGTGTTCGGTGATGTCACGTATATATAATTAAGTATGCAAATTAGCATGGCCAGTTTTTTTTTTTTTTTTTAAAAGGTTGCAACCCTACTGTGTATGTGTGTGCATGTATATCAGTGCATATATCTATATGTGTATATATGTGCATGTGTGCCAGCGTAAATATATGTGTTTATATCTGTGTAGGGCATATACTAAGACCCTGGTTTGTCTCAGTATATAGTTTGACCATGTTGGAATTTCAGTGACATTTCAACATAGTAAACAAACATTTAATAAAGGTTTTATCTTTAGAATTACTAATTAAGGGTTACACAGCCGCTTTAAGGGAATTTGCAATCGGATACAGTACATTTGTCTTCTCTCAACCAATGTACTTCCGGGTTCCTAAATCTTGCCTCCACTTCCTTAACAACCAGACATGGACGGTGTAAAAAATATATTTTATTTAATTACGTGGATTGCTTTGGCTTTTTTTTGGCTGTATGGTAGTGGGTTCTTGTTTATTATTTTCATGTTAGGAATTTTTGCATCGTTACTTATCTGTAACAAAAACCCAGAGGGCAATGGACATGTTTGTGTGCTGGTTCTGGGAGACTTGGGTCGCAGTCCACGGATGAATTATCATGCCTTATCTCTGGCTCGACACGGCTTCAGCGTCACATTAACCGGATTCCTCGGTAAGAATACTATTGTTGCACGTAGAATTCACACAATTCCACGTTACTGGAGACCTTCGCGTATCCAGTCTTACTTTCGCATTGTGTCTCTGGTGGGTAGTACTCGTTAAGTTGTATGAGTGTCTCTGATGTTTAATACTCCATAAATGGTTGTAGTAGAGAATTTTATTTTAATGTTGCAACGTCATTAATTCGAAAATAAATACATAAACCATATTATTAAACAGTCTCAATTTCTAAATTGTAGCTGTCATTTGCGTGGAGTATTAAAATATTTTCGATCAACAATAATACTGTTGGAATTCAATCGATTCTGAAAGTTTATTCATTTAACAATGAATAGAAAACTATTGCAGTTCGATCTTTAGTTAACCACAATTCATCATTAAGAGAATAAACTTATTTTGAATGAAGAACTCACATTTAGAGACCTGGATGTTAACATACATAATGTGTGTCCATAGATCATAATGTAATATGTAGAAGACATTTAAGGGTTACTATATCCTCTATGACCACTTTTGCATTTGGAAGTGGGCATGGGGCAAGGGATCTGTATGGGCTGTGTTTCTACCTAAAAATGTTGCTCATATCGCGATATGAGCAGTTTTGTCCCCAGGGTCTAGTACAGACCTGCACAACTTGGAAGTTGGTAGGGCCAAAATTAGAAAAAAAATTAAACGTCTTTGGGCTGCAGATAGGTTTTTAGTGCCTCACTTTTCAAGTAAAGGTATAATTAAAGGACTACTATAGGCACCCAGACCACTTCAGCTTAACACCTTAAGGACACATGACATGTGTGACATGTCATGTTTCCCTTTTATTCCAGAAGTTTGGTCCTTAAGGGGTTAATGAAGTGGTCTGGGTGCCAGGTCCAGCTAAGTTTAACCCTTTTTTCTATAAACATATGAAACTGCTATGTTTATAATAGGGTTAATCCAGCCACTAGTGGCTGTCTCATTGGACACAGACACACACACACAGAAAGATACACACATACTAACAAACACAAATACTGAAACAGACATACACACATATACAGACACATACACATTCATAAGGAGATACAGATATACACACACACACACACACACACACACACACACACACACTGACGTACATACATACTCACATACAGACATACAGACATACAAACATGTTGCAGATACACACACACACATACATACATACATAATGGCATACACACATACTGATATACATACAGACATACACACACAGACAGATATATACATACTGAAATACACACACATACATACACACACACACACACACACACATACAGCTAGACACATACACACAGACATACATGCATACTGATAGATATATACATACACACAGACATACATACATACATACATGCAGACACATGCATATACACACACACACCTCATTTATTAGCCACCCTCCTCTTCCTTACCTTTAAGTTGCAGGAGGGTGGCTGGGGATGATGGGAGTGGATGCTTCTCCTCTCCTCTCCTCGGCTGTCTCTCTCCACCCGCGTGGAGTAAGCTGGGAGGAAGTGATCGACCGTCACTTTCTCCCAGCAGCATTTGCAGTGCAGCCGCAAGTTTTTTTAAAGGGGCCCGGTCGCGCTATTACCCTGCCACAGCGCTGACCGGGCCCCTGAAAATATAGGGCTCATCGGGTGGCCCTAAATGCTTGGGCCACCTGATGGGCCCCGGTGCAGATGCATCTGCGGCAGTTATGCCGCTCCACGTGGGGCCCGGGCCCGTGACAACCGTCATGGTTGTCATCCCCTGATGGCGGCCCTGCCCACAGCACCATGAATTTGTTTTCCCCCAACCCCTCTGTGTCTACCTGTGTCTCCACTCAGCCCCTGTCTGTCCCCTTCCCTAATCTGTGTCTCTCTTTTGCCCCTTCCCCAACCCCTTTGTGTCTTTTCCCCCACAGCTAAACTATATGTCTCTTTCTTTCCCAGCCCCTTTTGTGTGTCTCTTTCTTCCCTTCCCAACCGCTGTTTGTCTTTTCTCCCCAGCACCTTGTATTTTTCTCCCCCTGCCACTATGTGTCTCTACACCCCCTTCTGGGTGTCTCCCCTCATTCCCTGTCTATCTCTTTTGCCACTTCCCCAATCTGTCTGTATCTCATTGTGTACCCCAGGCCCCTGTCTGACTCTGCTGCCCCTTCCCGTTTTTTTTGTCCCCCCCCAGCCCCTCTGTGCTCACTTATCTCTGGTAGCGTGGCGGAGCTATGGACAAGAGTAGAGGAACTCCTGGAACCTCTTCCCGGTCTTCCTGTCAGACTGGGTAGAGCTTACATGAGCTCTTTTCCCTGGTCCGTGGCTCTGCCACGCTACATGCTGTGACTGGCAGTAGAGGAGTGCTCCCCTCCTGCTCGTAAAATAGATTCTACCCCTCCCGGGCCGGTGCGCCCTAATAGTAGCACCAGCTCTGGGACCTTACGCACTGCATGGAAACCATTGCCAGGCTGCATGTTCTGCAGGCCTGGTCTAGTAGTTGCACCTCTGGAACATGTGACTTAGGCAGTCGAGAATTCTATTCTTGGCTGCCTAATGTTAATTCTGTGCAAAAATTACATCAGTTGTCAACGGGCATTGTGTGCTAGCTACATACTGAGCTTCTATCCTTGAAGGCAGCTCTGGGAGCGTGCCAGCAGGAGAAGCTTGAATCACCCTTCTCCTCAGACAAGAAAATTCCAGATTGCATGTAGGCTGTGGTGGAGGTGGGGAGCAGTGCCCATGGGAACCTAGCTAAGAAGTCAAACTTGTCTAAACTATTGAAGTGGTTATGGGACTTGAGGACCTTTGACTTTTGAAAGTCTTCATGTTCGGCACGGTGGCTGTGTGTAATATACATGTGTGAATGCTGGGTGTCTGCGGTGGTGCTGCTCTATATTTTGCCCCCTCTTGCATACTCTTCTGAAGGTAGGTAGTAATGATCCCTGGTCTTCCATTGGTGATCTATATTCCTGGTGATCTAACCGAGGTCTTCATTCCTTGATGGCCAGTGCTGGAGCGTGTGATGCAGCGTTTCTGGCAGGTATAGGCCCCAGTGATCGCACTTTCTGGACCTGGTACTCACAGGGTTATTCATTATAGTGAGAATTCAAAATGCGTTTAAAATTTAAGATCTAAATAATTAAACTAATTATATGATACCAATATACACCCCAAAAGTGCAAGGTGGAAAAAAATAAATAAATCAACTTCGCTTAAAAGTATACATAGCTAAAGGTCAGCTATGCTTTTATTTCGGTTACACTTCCCTTAAATTTGAAATTGTATTTGAATTTTTTCTTTAGGAAATAAGCCTGTCCATGATGAGTCAGAGCACAGATTGTAGAACCAGGTGATTGTGCTTTAAGTCCTTCAGTTAGCAATAGGAAGCTTAAAGGGACACTATAGTCACCAGAACAACTACAGCTTATTTAATTTGTTCTGCTGAGTATAATCAGTCCCTTCAGGCTTTTTGCAGTAAACACTGTTGTTTTTTTTCAGAGAAAAGGCAATGTTTACATTACAGCCTAGGGATACCTCAGGTACCTACTAGAGGTGCTTCCTAGGGCAGTGCTGCAAAGACATTCAGTGTCTCCACCCTCAGCATGGAGACACTGAACTTTACTCATAGAGATGCATTGATTCTGTGGTGCTGGCTCTGCCCTGATCTTCCTCTTTGACAAACTCAGCCAATTCAATGCTCTCCTATTGGAAAGCATTGTTATTGGCTCAGATCATAACTTCTGATTATATCAGCCAAGGAGGCAGATCAGGGGCAGAGCCAGCAGCAGCAGACTGGAATATAAGTAAGATTTTACTATATTTAGGGAGGGCAGAGGGGATAGTGTTTTGAACACTATAGGAATATATGTTTGTGTTCCTGACTCTATAGTGTTCCTTTAAAGTGTTATGTATCTGCCAAAGGTGCAGACCATATACATGCTCCTTATTTGCAATGGGTTCGCTATTGTCAAAAAAGTCACTGTTCAGTAGATACATAACCAAATGAAAACACGTACGCATTTATTTCTGCATTTTTTTCTTTGGGCGCATATCTAAAAAATAAACAAACAAACCTGCAAACCTTGTCATTGAGATGCCTCTGATTTTGAGATGCAAGCTGGACCATATACTAACTGCAAAGATAAAAAAAAAAAAAACTATGGGTTACAATTGATTCCCTTTTTTCCTTTTACAATTTTTTTTTAAAATAAATTATATGGATAATGCTTTAAATAACAGAAAAATAAAATAAATGAAAAAGTAAAACAGAAAGCGGATGGATCAAGAACCTTAGATTGGCATCTGCAGCTTAGTAGCATCATAATCACTACGTCTTCATCTAGTCTTTATGGTGCTTAGACTGCTCCTTTTGATCTATGCAAGATTTGGCTATTGCAATTTTGGGCACCTGTCCTAAAGAAGGATATTATGGCACTAGAAAAAGTGCCAAGGCGGGCTACAAAATTAATAAAAGGAATGGAACATATCAGCTATGAAGAAAGGTTAACACATTTAAACCTATTTAGTTTAGAAAAACGTCGCCTAAGAGGGGATATGATAACATTATACAAATATATTCGGGGCCAATACAAACCATTGTTTGGAAATCTATTCACAAACCGGACTTTACTTAGGACCCGAGGTCATGCGTTTAGACTGGAAGAAAGATGATTTTGTCTTAGGCAAATGAAAGGTTTTTTTACTGTAAGAACAATAAGGATGTGGAATTCTCTGCCTGAAAAAGTGGTTTTATCAGAGTTTATACAGATGTTCAAACAGCTAGTAGATGCATACTTGCAAAAACAAAATATTCAAGGATATAATCTTTCAATGTAGGGTAATAACTGCTTGATCCAAGGATAAATCTCCCTGCCATTCTGGGGTTAAGAAGGAATTTTTTTCCTAGCTTGTTGCAAAATTAGAAGTGCTTCAAACTGGGTTTTTTGCCTTCTTTTGGATCAACAGCAAAAAACAAATGTGAGGAAGGCTGAACTTGATGGACGCAAGTCTCTTTTCAGCTATGTAACTATGTAACATACCAGTGGTAATCGATTTCATTTTTAGTTGGACTTTTTATTGTGGACTTTTTATATATTTTATTTTTTTCGTATACACTTTTTTTATTTTTTCATAGGCGCTACCTTTACCTTAGTTTATTCTGTTTACATCTGTATTAGGTTGCCAACAAATAGCCATCTTACCGAATGGCAGATAGTTTAGAAAATGGGATTTTGACTGTAAACATTGGTGAGAGAGAAGATGGAGTAAAATAGAAGATGGGGGGTCATATAATTTACATTTATGGCTATAGTTTGGTTTAGAGATAATCCAATTTTATGATTTTTAAATGTAATATATGCACTAAATGTAATATAGATCTGGACTGTAAGAGTGTGAGCTGGAATCCTGGAGGTCCACTGGGGGAGCTATTTCGTCTGTACTAATAACTAATGTTCTTGCACCTGATATTGTCACAGACCACAATGCTCCCTGAAAGAAGTGAGGGAGCGCATGGATGTGAGTTCTCCCTGCCGACTCGAGGAGGACTCGCACAGAGCTCAGTGACAGTCTTTGTTGCCTAATGGGTAATTAACGTCTAAACAAGATTACTTTCTGAAATGACAATTCAAAATGAATTTCACACTTAAGGCAAGAGTAGCTGAAGTGAAAGCATAGTTGATTTTGTGAATTTTCCAGCTCAACTATTTTTACTTAAAGCGACACTGTCATGCGAACTTACCTTTCCCCAATCGCTTCATCTTCTTTTCCTCTTTTAGAATCTGTTCTTTTCTTCCTATCTGATCTAGTTTTCTTTAAAATATAAGACAAATTAGGGACCACTTTATCTTATGTATTTCTCCTACACTTGATCTTCTTTGACCAAAGGAGGAGCTTAAAGAGAAACTATAGTGCCAGGAAAACCTGCCTCTCCCCCAACCCAGGTGGGGGCCATAAGTGACAATAGAGGGGAAGGAGCTATTTTCATCCCCCCCTGTCCACCACCCATGTAAAATGTAAAAATAACTTGCACCTAGGTGACTAGGGATCCCCATGCCCTTAGCCACACCCTCCCCTATAAAATAAAATGCTACCTACCCCACTTACCCTACAAATAGTGAAGAAGGAGCAATAAAACTAAATACCGGTAAATAAAAAAAATCATACTTACTATTAGATGTCTATTTTTTTCTAAAAACCTTCTTCTTTTTTAGCCACAAAAAAGGGCAAATTAAAAGCCCATCAAAAAAAAAAAAAAAAGAAGACCGAGCACATAATAAAAATCCAGATGCTAAAAATGAATCCATCTTCACCTAGCGAGGGTTCCGCGCAGACTGAGCTCTGCAGGGCAGGAAAAGGCTTGTAAAGGATTCCCACGCCCTGCAGTTTGACTCAGAGCGCTCTGATTAATTGGCTTAAGCCCATCAATATGAGTACTCTGACAGGTAAATCTTGAGCCTTACCTGATTGGTTACCTATCAGAGCACTCATATGTCCCACCATGCTCACTGTTTAGTAGACATACCTCTACTCGTGGCATAGCAAGTAGAGGCATTCGGGAGATTTGAATCTCCTTATGCTAATATGGGGGTCACATTGACCCCCATAGAGTAAGGAGGAACATGGGGGGTTTTAGAAAGTGGCGGGGAGAACAGCATCTCACCGCTTCTAGTTTTACATATTACAAGGAGGGAGCCACAAGCCGGTATCTCCATCCTTGTAATAAAATGCCGAACAAGCAATCAAATATCGAAATTCGGCCTTTGTTCGTTTGTTTGAAATTTCTATTCATTCATTTGTGTTAAACTTGTAACTTCATTTTCTAACTTGACATCTCCTGACGAAAGCTTGAGGGGATCAAGCTGAAACGTTGACCTTGTGTTGTTTTAGTGGAGGTAATAAAAGTTATATTTTATATTAGTCCTTGGAGTGCTATCTCTGGCATATATATATATATATATATATATATAGCTTTTTCCAATATAAAATATTGGTCCTTTCAGAGTAAAATTTTTAATTATACAGTAAGCATACTCACATGCATACACAGACAATCTCACTGACAAGCTGACTGATACACAGCCTCATACATAAGGTTACTGACATAAAAACACAAGCTCACTCAGTAGCAGTCACACACACACACACACACACACACACACACACACACACACACACAGCTTAATGTAGTGGTACTGGTGTCTATAGCCTGTCCCTGCAGGCTTTTCAATGTAAACACTGACTTTTAAGAGAAAAGGCAGTGTTTACATTCCTTCCTAGTGACAGACACTCAGACGGTCACTAGAGGTGCTTCCTGTGTCAGTGCGGATTGGCTGAGATCATCAAGCTTGATGATCTCAGCCGTAGAGGCAGGGCCAGGCGAGGGGAGACCAGCATGAGGTGGAAAAAAAAAAAAAAAGGTGAGTAAAAACACACATACACACACACATACCATGACAGGCACACACCATGACACAGACAGACCGTGACACAGACAGAAACACACACACACACCATGACAGACAGACACACCGTGACACACACAGACACATATTACATGACACAGACAAACACACACACAGACACACATTACATGACAGACACACACACACCATGACATAGACACAAATTGCATGACACAGACAGATGAACACACCATGACATGACAGACACACATGACACACACACAAATGACACAGACACACACACACACATACACAGTTTCTACCTGTGGGGAGCTCCTTTGGTGGCCCCGGTCTCATTAAGCGGCGCGCAGGGGAGGGGGAGCAGAGACACAACAGCCAGCTCCCCCTGCGGCCGCAGGAACAGCCAGCAAACCCTGCGGCCGCCAAAGGAGCTCCCTCTGCGGCCGCAGGTGAGCCAGCTGGCTGCCCGGCCCCAGGTGCCGACGGCCCACCAGGAAATTTCCCGGTATCCCGGTGGGCCAGTCCGGCCCTGGCTACCCCAAACAATGAGTTGAACCCATTTCCCGAGACACTGGCAGATTGAGCAGTGTAAAGACTCATAATCCTATCAAGTATAGACCCTGTGACTCCGAACACCTCCAAGACATCCGACAGATAGCACCAGCTAACTCTGTCAAAGGCATTTCGGCATCCAGAGCCACAAAGGCCACCGGGGAGGAAATAGATTTGCAGATATGGATCAGATGTAACAGTTTGCAAACGTTATCGCCTCCCTCACGGTCCTTAACAGAGCCTGTTTTATCAGGATGAACTAATTTGGTAATGAAATCCTTTAATCTCTCTGCTAGGATCTTGGAAAATATTTTAATATCGGTAATCAACAGGGATATGGGGCGATAGTGACGAAATTATGATCTTGGTCTGGTTTAGGAATCGGGGTTATACAGGCCTGCAGCATTTTCAATGGGAATGGGCAACCCTTATCTATTTCTCCAAATACTTTTAGTATGTTTGGAGCTATGGTAGGCTCCATTATTTTATAGAAACAGGCTGTGTAACCATCCGGCCTTGGGGATTTTCACTCCTTAAGGTCTTTAATAGATTTAGAGATCTCCTCCAGAGTCAGAGGAGAACTCAATTTCTTCAAGTCATCCTTGCCCACTCTTGGTAATTTAAATTTTTTGAGAAACTGTCAGCCTGCCTCTGAGGTTGCCCGTTCCGATGGGAGATTATACCAAGCCCTGTAATATGAGGCAAAAGCTTTACTTATATCTGATGGAGAGATATTAACTTTGTCTCCCTCAATTATCTTCCTAATTATTTGGCTTATTTAATTGAACTTAAGTTTGTCCGAAAAATGCTTGCTAACTCTATTATCCCCATGGTACCAACTTTGGTTCAATTTTATTATGGCTCTGTTTGTTTCTTTTTCTAATTTATCTCTTATTTCCAATTGGGTCTCCCTGATTTGAGCTGATCTCAGATCTGTAACCATTTTTCTATTTTCCTCCTCCAATTTAGCTAAAAGAATTTACAAATCATTTAAATCTTTCCCACAGGATTTCTTGCGTTGGGCCCCCAGCTTAATTAGAATACCTCGCATGACGCTTTTCAAGCGTGTGCCTCTGCTAACCTCATCATTGTCATTATTCAAAAAGAATTCTTCAGCCTGTCTTAGCAGATACTTCCGGGTTTCATCTGAATGTATAAGTTCTTCATTCAACCTCCAGGAAGTTCTGCCCTCTCTCGGCCCATTTTCCACTATCTGTACAAGTACTGGGGCATGATCAGACCAGGTAATTATAGCAAATTTTGATTTCCAAAATTCGACCAGGTTGCAGCTTTTAGTTAAAAATTGATCAATTCTTAAATAACATTTGTGAACTTTCGAAAAAAATTAATAAATCGCGGTTGTTAGGGTGTGCCCTCTAGATGTCAAATAGGCCGAATTCATGCAGGACTTCCTGGAAGGAAATACTATTGCTCTTACTCCCACTTTCCAACTCCTTCATGCAATATTTCTATGTTTTATCTGCTTTTATATCCGGTACCATATTCCCAGCAATCAACAGGATTCCTTTTTTGACCTTATCTATTTAAGAAAATATTTTTTTAAAGAACTTTTGAGAGTATACGTTTGGAGAGTAAACAATAACAAGGGTGTAGCAGATGTCATTTATAGTACATATCAATATCAAGTATCTTCCTTCGGGATCTTTTAATTCTACAATCAGCTCAAATTTTTACCATTCTGCGAGGATAATTGCGACTCCTCTTGTCTTTTTATTTGGAAGACCGGAGGAGAAAAACCTAGGAAATGGTAAAACGCCATCGGTGTACTTCACCAGTTTTCCAATGGGTCTCCTGCACAAAGCATAAATCGGATTTGTTTTTTTACTACTAAGCCATATAAATAGCCTCTTTTTTTAGTTGTATTGAGACCCTGTGCGTTGATTGAAAAGACTTTTAATGTCATCTATACAGAGCCCACCGAAGTCCTCCCTGCCAACGCCTCACACAACCGGGACAAGACATACACTCTTACATTCATCCTTACTGTCTTAAGACTGTCTAAATAAACAGAATCCTGGTCTATATTTCTATCTAGTATAATCCCAGTTGCTGACAGGATCGGGGGAATAGATGGAGTCTAATGCATTCAATGTTCCTTCCCAATCTACCTCTCCCAGTGGAAAAATAAATAAAAAATAAAAAAACACTTCTCCCTTTGCAAATTTCTTAACTTTTCTTAAGTAAAATCCCTCATACACTCTCTCTCACCAATATTTCCTATAATAGACTTTCTTTTTCCTTCTTTAAATTGTGTGTGATAAATTCTAAACCATATAAAGTGCATTCCAAACATTAATTCTAAGTACTAAATTTAAATACGTGTTAAGTGCTGATTTATTTATCAAAGAACCTCCCCTCCTTTTACAATTATTTATTTTACAATTGTTTCTTCTAAAGTAGAAAGTCCCTCATATTTTCTCACCAATATTTCCTATAATCAACTTTTTTCATTTCCCCCCTTTTATTTTTTTTAAATTATTATATGCGATAAAATATTTGCCATATAAAGTGCATTCCAAAACTAGCACCTTGCATGGGTATACAAACCTATAATGGCACTTTTGCATGATTACTAAATTAGCATACGTGTTAAATGATAATTTAGTAATCATGCAAAAGTGCCATTTTCTATTCCGTTTTCCTTCTTTACATTATTATTTACGCCTACAAAAATTATTTTAAGGTAGTTTCCTTCTGAGTTATAGGTTTGTATACCCATGCAAGGTGCTAGTTTTGTGCAACACAAATCCACCTGCGGGGAAAAGAGAAAAAAAAATAATTCTCTGTGAACAGATTGGTTGGCTTATTAAAAGACAGAGCACAGTGTATTCTCAGTGCGGAGTGTGAGTGCTCACTGAACGGAGTGTCTCTGCAGGCAGATTTTATTTTTACCTGGCATTTTTATCACCCTGGAATCAAGTAATCCTAGGTGTGGATCATACCACCAGCGCTATCTTCAAGGAGCAGTTGGTCTGCTCCTTCCTTGTGAGTACCATTTTATATATTTTATTTCCATTATTTTATCCAGTGAGCACTATTGGTTGTCTCTTTTTTTTTTTATTTGAGTGTTGAACATACCATTGACGGAGGAAGTTTACCCCATATCCCATAAGCGGGGATTGTACCGCTGTACGCCTTTTACACTAGAGGTAGCTATAGCTCCTGTACATGTGAGTTTTATACCAGCCTTTTATATTTAATTTGTTTTATTATTGGACTTATTGCATTATTTGGTTCTCTATTTGTTTTGTCTCTTGCGTATGAGTGGATCTACACGGATGAGGACAGCGAGGACATTGTTCCTGACCAAGCACTTTATAGACTCTGCGACTCCAATAAGAGCATTTTAGATAAGACTCTTTTTATTTGGACTATCTGTTATTATTGTTTTACATAAAGTCTCTTTGGCGCAGCCCTTATTTCCCATATTTTCTTCTTTTGTCGTACCTTAAGGGTTTTTGAGGGATTCCCTTATAGGGTTGCTGCCCCATTTTGTTATCTAGCGCTTACTCTTTTTTCTTGTCTTAAAATACTTTAACCTCCAAGTATAAACAAACACTTTAAGCTGCAGTTGTACTGTGGACAAGAGTGTAAAGTGGCTGCTTAGGAAGAGATTGACTAAGCAGCATACTCTTTGCTATGAATGAAATTGGTTAAAGCTAGGATTAAGTCTCAAGTAGTTTTAACCCACCCAAACACTTCAACCTACAGTTGTGCTTCATGCAGGAATGTAAAATAACTGTTAACAAAGCAACATACTTTCTGCCAAAAGAAAAGATTGGCTAGCGTTCAGATTAAATCTTAAAACGCAGTTACCTCTAGAGATATTCCAAATACACCTCCCGAAATATTCCAATCACCTACTGCTATGTTCAGAACCGAAGTGCAAAATAACTGCAACCTGCAGCTATAATTCATGCTGGACTTCATGTAGAAATGTTATGCAACTGCTTAAAGTAAAATTGACAAATAAGTAACTCTTTGCTCATTGTAATATTGATAAACCAATACGCTCCTTGTTGTATAAGAAGTTGGTCAAAGTCAGGGTTAAATCTCCATACACTCTGACCACCAGATATTTTCCAGATAGTTTAACCTCCAGGTTTAATCCAAACAGGAGTGAGAAAAAAAACTGTTTAGGGTGGTATCTACTAAGCAGTATACTATTTTGCTGTAAAAGAGTTTGGTAAATGTCAAGATTAAATCTCAGGAAACTTTCACCACCAGGTATGTTCCAGCCTTATGTTAACCAACAGCTATAATCCAAACAAGAATGTAAAGTGGCTGCTTAAGGTGATACTGTCCAAGCAGTACACTATTTACTATTACAGAGGCTTGTCAAATCAGGGTTAAATCTCACAGTACTTCATCCCCCAACTATATCCCTGACAGGGTTGTAGGGTAACTATTTATGGTAGATTTGACTAATAAGTATTCATTTTGCTATTAGAAAACATTTTTGTTCAGTAAACCTCATTACTGTTTGTGTATTTCTACACCACTTCCACCACACTTAACCTGGCAAAGTTATTCCCTTAAGCGAGTTTACCAACAGAATCTTAAACTTATCTAAGCTGTCAGCAGTCCCAGGTGTAGTATAAAGTAGATGTTCCAGATAGATCTCTCTTTTGCTAAACCGGTGTTTCTCTGGAGGTTTAATATTTACAGGTGATACTCGAAAAATTAGAATATCTTGAAAAAGTTCATTTATTTCAGTAATGGAACGTAAAAGGGGAAACTAATCTATGAGATTGATGCATTACATGCAAAGCAAGATAGTTCAAGCCGTGATTTGTCATAAGTGCGATGATTATGGCTTACAGCTCATGAAAACCCCAAATCCACAATCTCAGTAAATTAGAATATTTCATTCAATCAATAAAACAAGGAGTGTACTTAGAACAATATCAGACCTCTGAAAAGTATAAGCATGCAAATGTTCAATGACCGTGGGATGCACAGTAATCCCACGGTCATTGAACCAGGCTTTGGTGCCTTTGGCAGTGTGGGCAGGTGCCAAGTCCTGCTGGAAAATGAAATCAACATCCCCATAAAGCTCGTCTATAGAAGGAATCATGAAGTGCTCCAAAATCTCCTGGTAGACGGCTGCGTTGACCCTGGACTTAATGAAGCACAGTGAACCAGGATAGTCTGTGTGTGGTGGCTCTTGATGCACTGACTCCAGCCTCAGTCCACTCCTTGTGAAAGTCCCCAACTCTTTTGAATAGCCTTTTCCTGACAATCCTCTCCAGGCTGTGGTCATCCCTGCTGCTTGTGCACCTTTTTCTTCCACACTTTTCCCTTTCACATAACTTTCTATTAATGTGCTTTGATACAGCATTTTGGGAACATCCAACTTCCTTCGCAATTACCTTTTGAGGCTTTCCCTCCTTATGGAGGGTGTCAATGATGGTTTTCTGCACAACTGTCAGGTCAGAAGTCTTCCCCATGATTGGAATTCCTACTGAACCAATTAAAGGCTAAAAAAAACCTTTGCAGGTGTTATGGCTTACTTAGCTGATTAGAGTGGGACACTGTGCACCTTTTCACAATATTCTAATTTACTGAGATTGTGGATTTGGGGTTTTCATGAGATGTACTACAGACACCCAGATTACATCAGCTCAATGAAGTGGTCTGGGTGCCAGGTCCCTCTAGTTTTAACCCTGAAGCTGAAAACATAGCACTTTCAGAGAAACTGCTATGTTTCAATGAGGGGTAATCCAGCCTCTAGTGGCTGTCTCATTGACAGCCACTAGAGGAGCTTCCGCGATTCTCACTGTGAAAATCACAGTGAGAAGATGCTGAACGTCCATAGGAAAGCATTGAGTAATGCTTTCCTATGGGCGGTTTGAATGCGCGCGCGCGCGGCTCTTGCCGCACATGCACATTCGGAGCTGAGAGGCGGATCGGGGCTGAGAGATCCCCAGAGTCAAGGGAGTCCGGCGCTGAAGAAAGGTAAGTGCTGAAGACACACACTCTCACGAACAGATGCATAAACACTAGCTAATAGACACACACATTTACTGACAGACAGACACATACACACTCACTTACAAAATACACAATCACTAACAGACACCAAACAGACTCACTAACAGACGCACACAAACTAACACACTCAGTAACAGACACACACAGTAACACACTCACTGACACACTCTAACACACACATGTTTTTTGAAAAATGTAATCCCCCAGCCTCCCTACCTTTGGGGTCCAGTGGAGTTGCTGGGCAGCCAGTCACCGGGCAGGCAGGCTGGCGGGCGCGCGAGGGAGCACTCTTCCCTTAGTGCTCCCTGTTCAGCTCCCTTGCGCGCCGCGTAGTGATGCTGGAGCTGGAAGATGACATTATCTTCCGGCTCCGGTATCAGTGCGGTGCGCGAGGGAGCTAGACAGAGAGCGCTCAGGGGAGAGTGCTTCCTTGCACACCCGCCAGCCTGCCCGACCGGTGACACCAGGGCCAGCCCCGGGGGGGGGGCTCTGATGTGGCCAGCTCTTGGACCCCCCAGGAGGAGAGGCTGGCCACACTGGCATACATACCGGGTCGCAGGGTGGCAGTGGCCGCTACCACATTGCTCAATTAATTTGTTACCTAATTGTTGCCAATTACCGACGGAGCTCCTTCTTATGTTCATCCGTGTAACGAACCTCTCTTACCTGATCCTGGCTACGCTGACTTCTCCTCTCCCAGACTCGGAACAGACTTCACTACGATTTCCTCTAACCCTCAATATAGTTCAAGGAACCATAATCCTCACTATTCTGGAAAGGACCTCCATTGTTTACTGGGATTAATAATTAGTTCATGCCTTCATACATTATTACTGGAGTCTAAAAGACTGTGATATTTTTTACCAAATCAGGATCCTAGGGCATGTGGCACCCGGGGCGGATCCTGGGTTTGGCACCCCTCCTACCCCCCCTTCTCCAAAAAAAGGCGCCACCCTACCCCCCTCTACAAAATCCCTGCACCCCCTCACACACAGTTACAGGCAGGCAGTCACACACAGTTACACGCACACAGTCACATGCAGACAGTCACACATATAGTCACAGGCAGTCATACACACAGATACAGGTAGAGAGTTACACACAAACAGTCAGTTACAAACAGTTACACACAGTCACGCACACTGTTACAGACAGACAGTCACATATACAGTCACACACACGGTCACAGGCAGACAGTCATACACATACATACACACACACACAGTTACAGACTGACAGTCACACACATACACACACACACAGTTACAGACTGACAGTCACACACACACACACACAGTTACAGACAGACAGTCACACACACACACACACAGTTACAGACAGACAGTCACACACACACACAGTTTCAGGCAGACAGTTACACACACACACACACTCTTATACTTACATACCGTGTGGGCTGGAGGAGTGGATTCCCTGACCTGAAGTCCTTCCCTGGCTGGAGGTGGAGGTGCAGGGATTTCTGCTTGCTGCACCTCCATGTGCAGCCGTTACAGCAGCTTGTAAGGGCCCTGTTACGCCCTGCCCCTGCTCGCAGTTAGGCTCCGTCCCCAAATGACATAGCCCCGCCCCTTCCTCCCGTGCGGCCAGTTTATCTTGCTGGTCTCTCCGTGTGAGCTGTGTGACACCCCAGCTGCCATGGGGCACAGCTCACACAGCCCCCTCCAGCCCCAAGACCAGGGTCAAGGCACCCCCCTACCAGGTGGCACCCAGGAGGGACCGCCCCCCCCTTAGTCCGCCACTGTCAGGATCTACTTATTTTCAACATTTGTTATTGAAATCTAAAGGACTGTGTAATATTCCTAAAACAGGAATTGCGTATTTTCTTATTCATTATCTGAAGTCTAATAGACTATATTATCTATTCCTAATTAGGAGTTACCTTGTTTATTTATTTCTGCTGAAATCTATTTTCTGTGAAGCAATCCTAAACAAGATTTACCATTGCTTAATGGAATATTATTTTCAATTTATATTGCTGCAGAAGATTGTTAAAGTGAAAATTCCTAAATTCAATAAATCAAACTTTCTTAAAGTGACAGTATTAAATTTATTGCTTCACTTGCAGTTGAGTTCCAAATGAAGTTTTACTAAAAGTATTACACTCATCGATACTTTTTTGACATGCGTTTTTCTGGATTTCTGGATCAAATACTTTTTTCCCTCACTGTATACCTACAGAATAAACAAAAGTTGGTAGTACTCACAGACTTTTAAAAGTAAAAAACTTTGCTTCATTGTTCCATCTCAAAAACATCACATTGTGTGGTTAAAAAAAAGTTGGTCAGTATTTCAATCCTGGCTTGAGACTTTCCTCAGGTCCCTGAAACCATTTCCTACGTATGTCCGATACATGGCACCCAGCATACTTAAAGGGACACCGTAGGCACTGTATCTGCTTCATCTCATTAAACTGGTAATAGTGTATGGAGTCCCCTGGTGCCATCATTTCTTTCAGCATTAAACAGTTTTTAATGTTGTAATGTTTTAATGCTAAACAAGACACCACGGCAGTCCATCCCCTCTGTGCTGCTTTGGCTAATAAGGAAGTATTACCCTGAGAAGCAATGGGCAGCTGTGATTGGCTGAGAGTGTCAGCTGACTGCTTTTAACCTGTCAGAGCTCCAACTGACGGTATGAATGGGTATGACAACAAGGAAGTGTGTAATCTCTGCCTTAGCTACACATACAGAAGGGGCCGGACTGTGGGTGGCCAGGGACTCTTATTTTGTGGCATACTGCACAAACATGGTGCAACACTGAATGGAGGGACAGTGCCAGGGCACTCCAGGCACTATAACCAATTCAAAGAGACAAAGTGGTTATAGTGACTACAGTGTCCCTTTAACTGTGTGTGTGTATATATATATATATATATATATATATATATATATATTACGCACACTTCTATACAGAAATGTTTTTAGTCAAATAGAAAATGTTATCTTTGTGCTAACTGTTCTGTAGATATTGTTATTGTCATTAAACTGTATTTATATGCACATTTGTTTGTTGATTATAACATTGTTGTCCTTCTGTTTTTAAGAAACCAATCCACATCATAATGTCCTGAATCATGAGAAAATAAAGATTTGCCCCATTTCGAACATCAAAACATTGAAAGGTGACTTGTTTCTTTTCCATATTTCTATATTATTCAGCCAAAACTTTAACTTTAGTAACATAATGCATGTAGTAACAGAAGTATAAAAGCTTCCGGGCAAGTAAAACCCATTTGTGATGTAAATATAAACTGTAAAATGTGTTACCATTTTGTTAAAATATGTCTTCTTCTTTCTTCAGTCTTCTAAACTGTTTAATAATTAGTCCACCAGAATGAATTAATCATTTATATCAGCACATTGTTGGGGGGGCTAAGTGGCGCTTGGTCACCAATCGAGCAGGTCACACGTGTGGGGGCTCCTGGGAAATCCCACTGTTCATAAGCTTTTCATTTGAGCTAATTTAGGATTTTTATCTTATGCCTGACTCTTATTACCGGGTGAATACCCTACTGTTGCCTGCTGGAAGTTTGCTGACATTGCCGGCGGTTCCAGTAATCGTGCTGCTTGGGGCCTTCGGCATTGCCTGGAGCTAAGAGAGCCAAGCTATACCTGGTTTCCCCATGTATCCCCCCACTTTAGAACGACGGGGGTTATCCCGGTCCCCACCGGGGCAGTATCTACAGTTGTGCTTACTGCAGCTAGTTATCCCAAGGCCTCATGGAGTCGCCAAGATGGCATCTGCACAAGCTGAGAAGACCTTGCAGTAGTGGGCAGAAGAGTTCAACGCTAAATATTAAAGGACCACTATAGGCACCCAGACCACTTCAGCTTAATGAAGTGGTCTGGGTGCCAGGTCCACCTAGGATTAACCCTGCCTGCTGTAAACATAGCAGTTTCAGAAAAACTGCTATGTTTACATATGGGTTAATCCAGCCTCTAGTGGCTCTCTCTTGCCGCGCATGCGCATTCAGCCGATGACATCAGAAGAGGGAGGAGAGTCCCCAGCGTTGAGGGAGCCCGGCGCTGGAGACAGGTGAGTGTTTATCCCCCTTCCTCCCCCTTCAGCGCTACGGGAGTGGGACCCTGAGGCTGGCGGCACCCTCAGGGCACTATAGTGCCGGGAAAACAAGTTTGTTTTCCTGGCACTATAGTGGTCCTTTAAGTAATTTGCAAGGCATTTTGGCAGCACATCCACACACGCGCATCCACCCATGGCAGGATAAAAAAGGGTTGGAGTAACCTTTTAAAACATTTGCATACTAGATACCGGATGAAAAAAATTAGTTAGAAAAATACACACTAGTAGAAAAAGTTAGCTGCAGTCTGTAAATACTGCTATATGACACAAGGAAGACTTAGATTTACGCCAATAACCAATACCCTGGGTTACAAAGCCCTGATATTACAGCATTTAAATCATAAATCAAACATTCTCAATATAGTAATGGGCTGACGGTAATCTTTCTGCATGTAGAAGATTTACGGTAAAAGAAGAGAAACACGACAGACTATGCCAGGATTCATCGGGCTCAAATTGTGAAAGAGTGGTTCAGGGAGCATGAGACATCATTTTTCACACATGGATTGGCCACCTCAGACTCCAAACCTTAACCCCATTGAGAATATTTGGGATGTGCTGGAGAAGGCTTTGCACAGTGGTCCGACTCTCCCATCATCATCATCACAAGATCTTGGTGAAAAATTAATGCAACACTGGACGGAAATAAATCTTGTGACATTGCAGAAGCTTAGTGAAATGTTCAATAAAGAGTAGAGTATCTCTGGTAAACTCAATATGACAAAGTCCATTTATATTAAGAGCAGGGCACAACAGCATGGAGTTAACCACTATAGTGGTTAACCAACATACTGGTTTTCCTGGCACTATAGTGCCCTGAGGGTGCCCCCACCCTCAGGGTCCCCCTCCCGCCAGGCTGGATGGAGAGGAAGGGGTTAAACTTACCTCTTTCTCCAGCGCCGGGCGGGGAGCTTTCCTCCTCCTTTCCTCCCTCTTCTCCTCCTCTTCGGCTGACTGCGCATGGGCAGCAGAAACATAGAAACATAGAATGTGACGGCAGATAAGAACCATTCGGCCCATCTAGTCTGCCCAATTTTCTAAAAACTTTCATTAGTCCCTAGCCTTATCTTATAGTTAGGATAGCCTTATGCCTATCCCATGCATGCTTAAACTCCTTTACTGTGTTAACCTCTACCACTTCAGCTGGAAGGCTATTCCATGCATCCACTACCCTCTCAGTAAAGTAATACTTCCTGATATTTTTTAAACCTTTGTCCCTCTAATTTAAGACTATGTCCTCTTGTTGTGGTAGTTTTTCTTCTTTTAAATATAGTCTCCTCCTTTACTGTGTTGATTCCCTTTATGTATTTAAATGTTTCTATCATATCCCCCCTGTCTCGTCTTTCCTCCAAGCTATACATGTTAAGATCCTTTAACCTTTCCTGGTAAGTTTTATCCCGCAATCCATGAACCAGTTTAGTAGCCCTTCTCTGAACCCTCTCTAAGGTATCAATATCCTTCTGAAGATAAGGTCTCCAGTACTGTGTACAATACTCCAAGTGAGGTCTCACCAGTGTTCTGTATAATGGCATGAGCACTTCCCTCTTTCTACTGCTAATACCTCTCCCTATACAACCAAGCATTCTGCTAGCATTTCCTGCTGCTCTATTACATTGTCTGCCTACCTTTAAGTCATCAGAAATAATCACCCCTAAATCCCTTTCCTCAGATGTTGAGGTTAGGACTCTGTCAAATATTCTGTACTCTGCCCTTGTGTTTTTAGATCCAAGATGCATTATCTTGCACTTATCCACATTCAGTTGCCACAATTCTGACCATTTTTCTAGTTTACCTAAATCATGGAACATCAACCTGTTACATATCTTGGTATCATCAGCAAAAGGAGCCTTAGCTTACCATCAAGACCTTCGCAATGTAACTAATGAAATATTAAAGAGAATGGGTCAGAAGTACAGATCCCTGGTACCCCACTGGTGACAAATTCAAAGCAGATATATTCCATTAACTACAACCCTCTGTTGTCTGTCACTCAGCCACTGCCTTACCCATTCAACAATATTGGAATCCAAACTTAAAGATTGCAGTTTATTGTTAAGCCTTCTATGTGCAACAGTGTCAAAAGCCTTACTGAAATCTAGGTAAGCAATGTCTACTGCACCACCCTGATCTATAATTTTGGTTACCCAATCAAAAAAATCAATAAGATTAGTTTGGCATGATCTCCCTGAAGTAAACCCATGTTGTCTCTGATCTTGAAATCCATGTGTTTTTAGATGTTCAACAACCCTATCCTTTAACATGGTTTCCATCACTTTCCCCACTACTGAAGTAAGGCTTACTGGCCTATAGTTGCCCGACTCCTCCCTATTACCTTTCTTGTAAATGGGCGCAACATTCGCTAACTTCCAATCTTCTGGGATTTACTCCTGTTAACAATGATTGGTTAAATAAATCTGTTAATGGTTTGCTAATTACACCCGCTAAAGCTTTCTTTTATGGCTTTGGTGTATTCCATCAGTCCCATTACGAGCAGCGTAACACTTTTGACAGTTGAAATAGAAACCTCTTCACTCTGTAAACTCACGTGCGCCAATAAATGGCTTTCGTTTATATTTTCTCAACTGAGGTCCCGCTTTCCTTCATTTCTTCTGTAAATACAGAACAAAATATTCATTGAGGCAGTCAGCCTGAAAAATATTAATTGAGGCAGTCAGCTAGACCTTTATCCTCTTCTACATACCTTCCTTCTTTTGTTTTTAATCTAACTAATCCTTGTTTGCTGCTTTTCTCATTTATGTATCTAAAAATGTTTTATCCCCTTTTTTACTGACTGTGCTATTTTTCTCTTCTGTGTGTGATTTGGAAGCTCTTATAACTTGCCCAGCCTCTCTGCCTAATCTTATAAGATCATTTTGTCTCCCCTCACTCTGGTTTTTTATAATTCCTAAATGCTAACTTTTGTTTCACTATTTTGGCCACATCTGCGGAGTACCACAGTGGTTTCTTGAATTTTGCTTTTACTGACAAGCCTAATGCAATTTTCTGTTGCCTTCAATAGTGCAACTTTTAAATAATCCCATTTTTCTTGGACTCCATTTAAATTGCTCCAGTCTGATAATGACTCCTCTACCCATATTCTAATTTTAGAAGAGTCTGTTTTTCTAAAGTCTAAAACTTTTGTTTTTGTGTGGTGTGACTCAGTCACTGTTCTTATATTAAACCACACTGACTGATGATCACTGGATCCTAAAATTTCACCTACAGTAATATCTGATACCAAATCTCCATTTGTTAACACTAAATCTAGTATGGCCTCTTTACGAGTTGACTCCTCAACAACTTGTTTTAGAGACAATCCCAGTGGGGAGTTTAGAATATGTGTGCTCCTGGCACAAGTAGCTAATTTTGTTTTCCAATTTACATCAGGAAGATTAAAGTCACCCTTGATGATAACTTCCCCCTTCATTGTCATTTTAGCTATTTCCTCAACTAGTAGATTATCTAACTCTTCAATTTGTCCTGGGGGCCTATAAATCACACCTACACGAGTTACTGTGTGATTACCAAATTCTAACGTAGCCCAAACGGACTCTATGTTTGCCTCACTAACTTTTATTAGGCTAGATTTTATGCTATCCTTCACATGCAAGGCCACCCCTCCCCCTTTCTTGCCTTCCCTATCTTTCCTATATAAAGAGTACCCTGGTATTGCTATGTCCCAGTCATTTTTCTCATTGTACCATGTAGCGGATGGCCTGGCACCCCGACTGGGTACCTCCGTTAAAGGATGCTCCTAGCGCTTCCTGAGGACTCCAAGCACTGCAGCAGACACCACAACCACCGAACCGGAGAAGCATATGAATCCTCTCAAACATATGAATGCTGTAGACAGTTGAATAGGAACCATACGAATAGGTTTACTCTCCTAGCAGTCAAACTAGAACAGCATACAATAAATCCTTCCCCCAATAATGAGACGACACTTCACTTTGAGGGTTAAAACAGGAACTCCCTGTACTGTCACATACAGTCTTTTATTCCCAATCCACAAACATAGTACAGCCCACAGGGCGTTACAAAACAACCAATCAATCCGTACAATACACCCAGACACTCCCACACAAAATCCTCCCTTCTGCATGTG